TATATATATATATATATATATATATATATATATATATATATATATATATATAACTTTTATGTGAGTTATGTTGTCAGTGTCGACAGTATATTACTTTTTCGGATACATAAAATCTGAAATTTTGAAATTGCAGTTTGTTTTGAATTCATTCACACAATATAGTTCAAGCTTTTTGGAAGCTGTAATCGATCTGCTACTCAATCAACACAACTGATTTCATGTTCCATTATGTATCAGGGGGAGATAACTAGTTTGATATGGCGTAGGAATACGTAGCAGGCTCATGGCATCGACTTATAGCTTCGCTTTATCAACTTGCTCTTTCGTGCTATTCCGATTAAAATATAAATATAGTTACAAATTAATTCTGTCAAATATGTTACTAAAGCCAAAATATTGCAGTTGACCTTTTAATCACGGAGAATTCGCCAACACAGCCCTTGATAACGTTTGTTCCTGTCACTCAAGTTGGATCAATAATCTGGAGGGATATTGTATTCTTAGATGCAAACTAGTTTGCCCCGAACGCCAACCCAATCATCAAAGTCACCCCACCCCACCCCATATCACCCAAAACCCCAACATCAAACAGTATATTATGCTATAATCTGACATAACCTTGTTACATTAGTCATAGTCTACATCAGGAATTGTGCGAGCTTCTTTGAATCAGATATTTGTCGTAGTCTTCAATAACCAAAAAGTACTTGGTATTACAATTATATACGTAATAATTTGTTATGCACAAATTACAATAAAATGTAGTATATTCTGTGTACAAGTTTGCCGGAACATTGGCAATCTACTGTGAGCTATAGAATTCAGACATGTTTAGCTCAGGCGAACATTAGCACAGAGACTTAAAACTGTTATACGTTTGTACGACATCAGGTCATATTTACAGCCCTAGTAAGTTTGCACTCTGTAAATTTATAGACGATGGCAAGAGGAAGATGTTGAGGTTTGGCTTTTATAACAAGAAAAGTATCGATTCCAATGCTATGGTTTGGGGTGGGGTGGGTGGATTTGAGCTCACGCCTAGATATAAAATCCAATTTTGAAATCAAGAAGAAGCAAAACAGTAATCATTGTATCGAATAAACCTGCGTGGCAATAAGTAATAAAAACATGCTTATCTCTAGAAATCTATCACCATATGCGTATTACGAACGTTATCAGAGATACTGAATATTAACAAAATAGATTACATAACAGTTTGTATATCAATTTATGAATTCCCTCCCTTGAGTCCCTAAATGTCCTTAAGGACTTATTTTTGTGATGCATTTTCACACATTAAAATTACAATGTACAATCTGCTCTGCTTATTATCGTTTATTTACAAAAGGATCCAAAAATCGTTCACCTCAAGTTAATATCAGTGTTGAGAAGCGAATGAAGCAGCTATATACAGAAAAGAAAAACAAACAAAAACAACGCTATTATGGATAAAAATTAAAAAGATCGGACTCATGTCCTGTATTTATTCCTTTGCTATATCAAGTTATCTTTTTCATGCGACTCGAAAAACTGATTTCTCAAATATCTTGAAAAGCATATACCACAAGGGATATTTTATTTGATAAAGTAAATATCAATTGGAACTGTTAATCCTTTCTTTTGCATTGGTCAGTTTTAATCACAGAAAACTCGCAATTAGAGAGCGAAAATTCATCTTGCTTCTTCTCCCAGGACGTATTTCTTTTTCGTGTAAGAAAATCTGGTTGCCTTTAACGCCGACACCACGCCAACAAACGTTAACGTTATCCTTTACTCTAACATGATAAGACAGTTCTAGGTGGTATTCGCCTGCAATTCCGCCATGTTAGAAGTTCTCAAAATTCATAAAGTGTGCGCATTGCTTGAGAACCTTTATTGTATTTTAATTTGATTGTAGTTTTTTTTTCTAAAAAATCTTTAGGTACTCATCATAAAGATTATGTACCTATCAATTTTAAATAACTATATTAATCGTTCAGCAAGGTAGAAAGGTTTGACGATTAATCGGGTTACATTCTCGATATATTTAATTTCCTCCCTTGAGTCGTAAAATGTCATTAAAGATTTGGTTTAGCAGCACAGTTTCACAAATTAAAGCCACAACGTACCATCCGCACTGATAACATTGTCGATTATATCCCAAGGATCTAGAAATGGTGCACTTGGAAGTCAATATTATTGCTGAGAACGGAATGAAGCAGTTATAGTGTAGTAAAAAAGCCTTATCGAACCAAAACTCAGCCCCATGTTCTATATTTATCCATTCGCCACATCAAGATAGTTCATTCATGCAACTAGGAAAATAGGAAAAACTTGTTCCGCAAGCATCAAGAAAAGTGGAAATACCATAAGGCACATTTTGATAATGTATAAATCAATTTGAACTATTAATCCTTTCTTTCACATGAGTCAGTTTTAATCACAAAAAAAATTGACAATCTAATCATGTATTTAATATAAAAGGGAGAGGCAAATCGTACTCCGTCTCCATGGACGTATCTCGTATATGTTAAAAACAAGTTTAGTTTGTTCCTAACGCCGACACAAAACGCCAATAAACATTACATTATCATATATTCTGACATGATAAGACGGTTCTAGCTAGTTAAGGTTTCGTCTGCTAGGTACAAAGATTTGTCGAACACTATAGATCGACATGGAACATCTTGATCTCTTTTAAGTGGTGATGAAACCTACCAGATTAAGATTCGGAAGAAATAAATTCCCTCAGTTTCATTATGGAAAGCTTGTACATCTCTAGAACCCTAACGCTTTATGTGTAATATAAATGTTCTCAGAAATACTAAATATATACCATCAATAGAAATACTGAATAAATATATACCATCAATAGAAATACTGAATATACACCATCAATATAAATACTGAATATACACCATCAATAGAAATACTGAATATATACCATCAATAGAAATAATGAATATATACCATCAATAGAAATACTGAATATATATATATATATACCATCAATAGAAATACTGAATATACACCATCAATAGAAATGCTGAATATACACCATCAATAGAAATACTGAATATATACCATCAATAGAAATACTGAATATATATTATCAATAGAAATACTGAATGTACACCATCAACAGAAATACTGAATATATGCCATCAATAGAAATACTGAATATATATTATCAATAGAAATACTGAATATACACCATCAATAGAAATACTGAATATATACCATCAATAGAAATACTGAATATATACAATCAATAGAAATACTGAATATATATTATCAATAGAAATACTGAATATATATTATCAATAGAAATACTGAATATATATTATCAATAGAAATACTGAATATACACCATCAATAGAAATACTGAATATATACCATCAATAGAAATACTGAATATATATTATCAATAGAAATTCTGAATATACACCATCAATAGAAATACTGAATATACACCATCAATAGAAATACTGAATATATACAATCAATAGAAATACTGAATATATATTATCAATAGAAATACTGAATATACACCATCAATAGAAATGCTGAATATATACATCCATAGAAGATTCTTTGACCATTCCCATCTGAATCAGTTCATTTCCTTTCACGATCGATCAAGTCGCTAAATGTCGTGAATCACTTACCTTTGCGGGGTAGTTTCGCACATTTGAGAAACGCAATATCATTTACACTCATTACTCTGTCGTTATTTTACTGCACGACAACACACTATATATCTGTAAGTCATTATTAGTGATGCAAACCAAATGAAGCATCCATATTACGGAATAGACGGGATATCAAAAGGTGTGTTTCTTTATGATAATTTTAACACGCTCACACACACACACACACACACACACACACAAGAACACAGACACACACACAACCAAATACAGAGAAGCACATACACACACGCATAAACAAGCACACACGCATACACATACACACACACATACAAGCCGTATCAGAAACGAGGCTAACACAAAACTTGAAAATCATTGTAACTAAGTTGGACACATTGTGAAGTCACTCGAAATGATGTCCATTAAGTCACATCCCATATGGACAGTTAAGTCTGAAAAATACCTCAAATGTGAACACAAGACGAATTAATCTTAAACGAAATCTCTAATCCTAATGTGCTGTATAACCAACCGGGCTACCAGTTTCTTTCCTGTCAGCTTGTTTAGCCTCACAAACCTCTTTTCACATTTCTTCTTCTTCTTCTTCTTCTTCTTCTTCTTCTTCTTCTTCTTCTTCTTCTTCTTCTTCTTCTTCTTCTTCTTCTTACTATTATTATTATTATTATTATTATTATTATTATTATTATTATTATTATTATTATTATTATTATTATTATTATTATTATTATTATTATTATTATTATTCACCACCTTCCCTCATAATGTAAATACATTCATACGTATAAACCGCTTTGAAATGTCGAGTATTCAAGATCCACCATTAATAGGTTTTGGTGAGTTTGATCAAAAAGGATTTGATTGACAATGATACTTGTACTCAAAATCGATAGGTCCTTTTGCAAATTATTTTTAAGCTTTATGTCATCCGCGTATATTTTAGCGGTGTCTTTTCCCTGAGGTTCTCCATTTTCTTACCGATAACGGGATTATCATTGGTGACTGGATCCTGGGACGTGGGGATGGCTGGGGGTAGGAGTTGGGAAACAGTATCTGATTATGACCATCAAGAGGCTACCAGAAATTCAAGATGTTGGTTGATTATTGCTGATATGAAATCTTCAGATTGCATATTGGATCATTATGCTATATATCCTCCTCAGATAATTATGTACCGAACAGAATGCCATCATAATGGGGTTGGTGAACAGGAATTGTATAATATTCGTCAAGTTTTCCGAATTGTATTGGTAAATTCAATACATGTTCACGTTGAATTGTTTTTTATGCTAATATTTATATAGTCATATCAACATATGACTCGAGCTTTGGCGATGCACTATATTTAGTGAATGAACCGTTGCCTTAGTGGTTAGAGTGTCTGCCTCGGATGCGAGAGATTGCGGGTTCGAATCCCGGCCGACTTATATCAAAGACTTAAACAATACTTAATCATTCAGCATTAGGACGTTAGGGTGAAGACTTGTCGGGCTAGTGTCAGGATTATGTGATTGGGTGGGACATCATGCTACATGTCTGCGGCATGATGACCAAGTGCTAGACATCATTATAAACTGCCTCACTGCAAACATCGTTAAATTACAAATCCAAATCACAAACTAATGAATGAATGAAAAGCATTAAGTAAAAACCTAGCAATTGTTAGGTATTCAAAATTTTAACGCATAACATGAGCTAAGATCCGAAAACCATAATTTATATTTTTAGTTAATTTACAAGTGTTTCCATTCTATAGTAAAAAATACGGTTACTCTTTTCTCAGTAAATTTTAACATTTGTCCTCAAAATATTATCCAGCAAATACTAAGTCACAGAAGGCAAGCTGTTATTCTCATATATCATGGCCCAAAGCGGACAAAGAAACCATGATAAATAGCGAAGCCAGATATAAGACAAATAGTTTGTAGGCCATTTTGTGTTTTAAGTCATTATTTAGGATTTGTGCTTAAACTGAAACATTTGGATATAGCACAACCAAGTTCGTTTAACAAATTATCCGCCAACATTTCTGCACAATTAACAAGAATGTTGACTCGACACTTTTTTACATTTTGGACCTCATTCAATTGTTATGCCTCATTGCAAAGACTTGTATTGAAAAACCAACTGAGTGCGCAAGGCATATTTGAGTGCAACTATATGTGTAGTATTATAAAGGTGGTTGTGGATTGTATATGAAAGCATATATTTTCCTTTTACAGCTCTTCTGAGCTTTCGTCTTGGGAAGGAACACTTCCAAAAGTCTCAACCTTTTTAAACATCACTAGCCTTTGCATATTTAGTATCATATAGAATAATGGCCTATCCACATCTTTGAGTTTATACATATGCCATTATGGTTTTATTTGACTGGAAATGCATACCATATTGCCATAACCATTTTTTTTCAAAAGTATTAGTGTTGAATATTACTTAGGGACCGATGAAATGTGATAACAATAGATCAGATGGTTGCATAATATTCTGTAATGAAAACAAGCTCCACTAGTAATTAGTTTTGCAATAAAAATGTAATCATGTATTTTGTTCACCGTATTGTAAGAATCATTATGCGTTTAGTTTAAACCGGGAATGTTCAAGTAGCACAATATTGATATCAAATGTTGAGAGCGAAAATCAATGACTTATATTGCGATGCTTGGACGATACAAAGATGTAAATATAAGTAAATATATTGATATAAATATATGGTGGATTATATTGAGTTGTAATAACGACAAGAGTAAATCATGAAGTGGTTACAAGACTACCGTGAGTTGTAATGACGACAAGATTAAATTATTGAGTAGTTACAGGACTACAGTGAGTTGCAATGACGACAACAGTAAATTATAGAGTGGTTACAGGACTATACTGAGTTGTAATGACGACAAGAGTAAATTATGGAGTAGTTACAGGACTATTTTGAGTTATTATAACCACAAGATAAAAAATGAGTGGTTACATGACTATAGCGAGTTGTAATGACCACAAGAGTACATTATGGAGTGGTTACAGGGCTTTAGTGAGTTATATTGCGACAAGAGTAAATTATGGAGTGGTTACAGGGCTATATTGAGTTATATTGCGACAGGAGTACATTATGGAGTGGTTACTGGGCTATAGTAAGTTGTAATGACGATAAGAGTAAATTAGGGACTGGTTACATGAATATGGTTAGTTTTCATGATGACACGAGTATATTATGAAGTAAGTACTACTATAGTGAGTTGTAATGACGACAAGAGTAAATTATGGAGTTGTTACAGGACTATAGCGAGTTGTAATGACGACACTATTATATTATGGAGTAGTTACAGGGCTATAGTGAGTTGCAATGACTATAAGAGTTTATAATGGAGTAGTTACTAGACTATAGTGTGTTGTAATTACGATAAGAGTAAATTATGAAGTAGTTACAGGACTACAGTGAGTTGTAATGACGACAAGAGTAAATTATGGAGTGGTTACAGGACTATAATGAGTTGCAATGAAGACAAGATTAAATTATGGTGTAATTACATGGCTATAGTGAGTTGTAATGAAGACAAGAGTATATTATAGAGTAGTTACATGACTATATTGAGTTGCAATGACGACAAGAGTATATTATGGAGTAGTTATAGTAAAGACTATCGTGGTTAAACACCAGCATACTTATCATGTGCCACGAAGAGGAACAACGAAGAATTTGGCGGAGGAATAAAGAGAAGTATGAAAACAGCATTGAGTTAAAAGGGGATTGTTTAACTAAACTGAGTCAAACATTCAATAGAATCCTGAGAAAATCGGGAGGAAAGTAAGGGACGGGGTATGACATAATAATGAACAAAGGAGGGATATTAAAAGTCAATAGTAAAATAAAGCGAGACTCAAAGATGAACAGTACTTCTCGCTTAAGCATTGAATACATATAGGTGTTTATGATTAAATTACCACGTGATTTGAGGTATTGAAACTGTTGGATCCTTTGTTTCTAACAAACAACGCAAGAAAAGAAAGGAAGTGTACTTTCTGCAGATCCATATTGTCATGGAGGTGATCGGATTATATTATCTGTAAATAAATGCCGATTAATTCTCTATAAATAAACGCAGATTATTCTCTGTAAGAAATGACAATTAATTCTTTGTAAATAAATACCGACTAATTCTCTGTGAATAAATGCCGATTAATTCTCTGTAAATAAAAGCCGATTAATTCTCTCTAAATAAATGCCAATTTATTCTCTGTAAATAAATGCCGATTAATTCTCTGTAAATAAATGCCGATTAATTGATCTTCAACTTCTGTTAAGTCAGGAATGAAGAATTTGAAATTTTCTTAAAAAGTTTCTCGGAACTTGAGTGTTCCGATTATTGAACGTGCTTTCAAGATTGATAATGGCGTTCATTTGACGATTCTCGATAAATAATGTAATACATTCTTGAATTGCTGACGGAAGAAACGATTTGTAATTAAGACTTCTTCGAACTTGTAAGGATAAGAAAATGTTTTATATTATTTGCGTTAAAACGAGTAATATATCTGACAGTTAGTAAAACTAGTGATATGAAATACGTTGGGCTCGAAACAGTCTTCCTTTTATACAAAAGTGCAAGTTGATGCTTTTGTCCTCTATGTTCAAGGCTTTCTCATTCTCGTCACGGTGTAACGCTTCAATAGATATTAATTTTCTTGCACCTATCACACATTTCGCTGCCTTGCTTCATATTACTCTGACCTCTCTCTGTTTTAAACTAATGTGCAGTTGTCCTAAACAACGTTACCATATTCCAGCATGGGTCGCATAAAGCATATAAATACAATTTCTGAAGGTTTCCAATTAAGATGAAATTTGCGTCTGCGCATTGCATGCCTTTTCTTGTAAGGTCTATTTGTTTGCTTTATTGGAGGAATACTCCAAGGTGTTAGCACGTGTGTGGTTGAGTATATATAGTGGTGAACAGATGGGCTTTTATTTCATTTTTTTAGAAATAATCATTTGTTTAATCTAGTATAATTTAATCGATGACAAAATAATTAAACTTTTCAGCTTCATCGCAGGTATGGAATAGATTGTGTACTGTGATAGATGAAGAATACTTTGAGGGCGCGTCTTTTTTCATGATTTCGGTTTTGTGCAAATTTTAGTTGTTTGCTTCTCCAATGACAGTGATAGTTATTGGTCCAGAGGAAACGAAATTTAGTCCAATGAGATGGTATATAAGATTGCTTGACTTTTCCATAGGGTGTCTTACGGCTGCGTACTGGTCTTTGATTGCCGTTGTCATCCATGCAGATTCTGATGGCTTAAGTTTAACAGTTCTGTTCGGCATGCATTCATTCCAAACGTATCTACTCATTCTTGTTAAGAGGTGATAAAAGTAACTTTGAGATAACTTTACTAACCACTGCTTTATACATGGTGTTAAACGAGTAACAGGTGTAAAGTATTATAGCATTAATTTTATAAACATACTTTTCATGTAGTGTGCAAAATGACATAGTCCTCGACATTACCAATTTAAATGGCAAAACAAGTTTTGACAATGTACAATTATACAAATCATAGTATAAATTGAAAATAAAAATGTCAATTTGGGTGCATGGACGAAAAATAAGAGCATGTTCAAAGTAGAAATACAGACACAGCAAAAATAGAAAACTAAAACTTTGCCAAGATCGTCTCTTACTAGCTTTCAGGCTTCCAACTGTTTGTATGAAACAGGGCAGATAGAATTATAACGACAATTTTAAACAGGTTAATGTGGTTCTCATGGGCTACGAACTGGGGTTTTAGATCTTGATCAAGTTGATACGGTGATGGCTTTCTAAAGGCTCTTTCAAAAGAGAATTCAAATTTGCATTAGGTAGAAGTTCTGCCAGGTCATAAAATGAATTGATAATGTGGAGTTTGACGATATGTCCTTTACCAAGATCGTCTCTTACTAGCTTCCAGGCGTCTAAGCCGATTTTATCTAAGCCTGACTAGATCCTCGCTGATAAAGATTACCCATTGTCCTTAATATGCGTATTGCTTGTCTACAGTTTCGGACTGCACGATAATCGGCAGATTTGACAATTATGTTTCGAGCTTTGTATGGTTGTCCTTTATGTTTCACTCAGTGTGATCTGTCAATTCCTCTAAGTACCAGTCTAGGCTAATACATTCGGGACGCTTTTGTTATTGTCCTCGTCATGGTTTTTTGGGACTCCTGTGATATTGGGGCAGTTTGGGCGGTTTTCTGTTCCAAGTTGTCCGCATTTGGCTGTAGTTTCCCAATGCGATCTCTGAATTTAGCTTTATGTGATTCCATTTGTGAAATTGCGGCTCTAGGGGCCGTAGTGAAGCCATCTACTATAGATGTAACCATGTTCTGTAGCTAGGTAATGAAGTTCTATAGAGCTCTTCGAGTCATAGTGTTAGAATATTCTTGGATGACACT